CAGATTTAGACCCTCGAATGTATATGCGTCGCCGAGTAAGCCGACAGCAAGCCTCTCAGACGAGTCTGCCGACGTCCCCAGCAAACGCATATAACATTCGAGGTCCCAACGCACCAGCCGCGACAACAGACATTGCCCGACTGCCCTCCGCCGGCGCGCCCTCACCCGACCTCACCTCACAATCACGTGGTCAGCAGCCGACCAATCACTGCACGAGTCCGCGCCGCACAGCCCCGCTCCAGCGAGAGATGCTGTGCCGCAATACAGCGGCCGCGCGTCGGCCGGGAAGCTCAGCCGGCGGCCGGGCGAATCACTGATCACAGCAAGATACAAATATTACTTTTAAACCACTCATGACCGAATTTCAACACCCAGGAGGTGGTGGGGATACCTGCACCTATGCTCTAATATGTATACTATGTAGTAATAGGTACTCTATAACTACTATAACTCCTAATTAAATAATAATACTTTATACTCTAATACACAGTACACACATATAATCGAAGTATGCTAAAAACTGGACTGTTCCTCGTACAGCTAAAAAGCTAGTGTTTGTCAGCCCTAGCACTACTGTCCCGTGTCCGAGCTGCCCTCTTCCCTCCCCGCCCAGCGGACACAGGCCGGCCGCCGTGACTGTGCACTGTCCTCGGTGTGTGTCACGGTGTGTGTTCTGGCTCGTGCCCTGTCCCACATCCTGTCCCGCATCCGGTGGGGAGGGGAACGGGACAGGCGAGGGGGCGGCGTGGTCTGATTCGGTGGTGGGGCTAACTGAGCGGACTGTTGGCGTGAGTAGAACAAAACAAGCAGGTAAAGATGGAGTGAGTCGCTCATCGGTCTGGCATGAATTTTGAAGGAATATATATGTATTAGGTAGGTACCATGTGCACATCGGCCTTGTGACAAATAAACGGGTTTGGAGTCTCAGGTAGTAAAAATAGTACAAGCTGATGGACACCGACCACAATTCAGGCGATGTGAAATAATGCTGTATAGGCTGTTTCTAAGTAACTTCCCTCGAATAATACTGGTGCTGAAAATATGTTTTTTTCTACTGCCACGACGTTCAAGTGGATTCATTCAGCGATATATCGGTTTCTCAAGTACGGCGACTGTTACTGAGTGCCCGTGGAACTTCACTGAAGTTCATTTGAAGTTACTTCCTCGATACGTGCTGCTGAGTTAGACCGAGGAAGTGTGGCCTTTACCTTATTGGAAGATTTGGTGGTCAGTCTGAAAATGTTTCGAGGCTTATGGAACCTTTGACATTGACTTACCGCATTGTGAATGAGGTTACGGTTGAGGTCGGCTGATATACCTACTCAACAAATGTTATGTGTTTGGTTAGTAGCTTGGAGAAGTTGCTTGCCTGCATACTGCATATTCACAGTCATGTGCACGTCTCATTCGAATTGCTCTGCTGAGCGTAAACAAACACAGCTGCTCTGTGCGCGGTGTGACTGGCCTGTGCCACGGTGTCACTCAGTCTCAGTCTCTGCTAGCCCGCCGTCTGATCGCCCAGTGTCAGTCTCAGTCTCTCCTCTCCCGCCGTCTGACCGCTCTATGTCAGTCTCAGTCTCTCCTCTCCCGCCGTCTGACCGTCCGGTGTCAGTCTCAGTGTCTGAGGTCGTCTCTCTATCGACCGACCTTTGATCGGCCATCGCACGGTGTGTGGCGGCGGACCGCTGTTTTCCGGCGGCGTCCGTGGAAAAGTTGGACAGCTCTGTATCCGACCGACCCAGTGACGGCCGTCTGGAGCTGTTTACAGAGAAGTCGCCGTCAGATGTGACTCGATAACCACCCAGCCGGTGGCGACTCCTTTGTCCACTCGACTCTGCGGACGAGGCCGCCCTCCTAGACACAGCGGCCACCAGAGGCTGTCAGAGGCATCAGGGGCGGATATAGAGGGACAACGCTCAACTCCGGCAGAGTCCGTACGAATAACTGGAGTCCGCTGCCCACTCCGTACCGGTGGAACTATTTGAGGCCTGTCGAATGAAATTTGAAAGCAGAAAACACATCACCATGTCTAATGCTTGTCTGTCAGTCATCCCCACCCCACATCTCTTCTATTTCTTTCTCATTCTCCGTCTCTCTCTCTCTCTCTCTCTCTCTCTCTCTCTCTCTCTCTCTCTCTCTCTCTCTCTCTCTCTCTCTCTCTCTCTCTCTCTCTCTCTCTCTCTCTCTCTCTCTCTCTCTCTCTCTCTCTCTCTCTCTCTCTCTCTCTCCTTCCCTCCCCTCCCCCCACACCATATAGCCACCACTTCTTGTGCCCTAATCACTTACATTTATCTATCTTATCTCCCTTCTTACGACACGGCTACATCCTCATTGTAGGCCAGGGTCTCCGATAGCCTGTCCTTGACATTAGCCTTTTCCTCCGATCAGTGTTTGTTCCGCAGCAAGAAATAAGAGCTTGGGAGGAAATATATGACGCAAAGGTTATGTCAAGGCTCAAATATTCATCACCAGACTGTCGTAATCTTGGCAAAACACTAGCAATCTGTAGCTCTCGTGATTTGTCTCCAATGAACTCGACATTTGGCCATGAAATGAGGCTGTTATTCTTGATCAATTCCCAAAGATTCAGCGAAACTGCTTTAAGAATTGTATTGTTGCTATCAAAATCAGCATTGTTTCTTTCAGCGACGATATATGAAGCCCAATCTTTCTCATGGAAAACAACAACCTTCCATTAGCACATTGAGACAAACGACTTTCATAATGTTGTTTTATCGTTTTTAGCTCGTATTTCGTGCGATGATCAAAGATTCATCAAACAGTCGTCAAGGGAGCAGGCCGATGACCATGATACCAACGGAACGTAAAGGTGAATATCAAAGTGCCTTATAGCTCTATCCCAAGGATCGTTCGATAACATATTTATATTAGCATAAAGTTTGTTTCAACACCATTAAATATTTTATCAGAGGGGTACTACTAACGTTATATTTAACCTAACTTAACCAGACTTTGCCGTTAATATGGAATGTCGGTCTGGCTTCGTCAAGGAAATGCATCAACCTGCGTGGAAGCGCCGCGCATGCATAAATTTTGCCGAACTTTGGCGTGCACCGGACGAATACATCCGGTTATAGCGTTCTGCAGCGGCATATTCTGCGCAGGCATTCGGACCGAAAACACAGCCAAACGCTGGCCGGTCACGTGAGGTTGCACCGGCGGCGCCGTCGACTGCAGCCGCCTGTTGACGGCGCGTTCAGCCGAGATTATCTCCGACTGCGGCCCGGGCAGCGCCGAGGCACGTCAGGTCAGCTGGGGGACTGCCTCCCCGCCCGGCCCGCACCGGTCCGGCGAGGCGGTGTCGGAGCCACGATAAACACGAACGAAGGACGAGCGCCGGCCCGCTCACGCATCCCTCATACGCGCAGTGGCTGCCTCGGTGGCCACTGGCGGCAGCTGCGGAGGCGGTGGTGGTGAGTGGTGACGGTGGTGACGGCGGTGGTGAAGGTGGTGACGGTGTGGTGGCGATGACTGGCTTGGCAGAGAAGTGGCGGCGTTAAATCTGACGGACAGCGGCCGACTGGCGTTTCGTCTGAAGCGGCACAGGTGCTCCCTCAGACAGTAGCCGGGTGCGCTGAGGTAGTTTTGGCAGTGGTAACGAGTGTGGCGGCTGTTACAGTTCCGCAGCCGACCCGGCGGCTCGCGTGCTGATTCCTCTGTGCCGCTGGCAGGCGGTGAGCTGGGTTAGTGTTCCTGGGATTGTATGCTGTTGGCACCGACCGTAGCTACAACCTGGCTACTGACGGAGTGAGCATTGAAGTTGAGGGCAGACGTTGAACGCAAGCCGACCCGTGCACTGCTTCTACTCAGTTTCTCAACTCTAGCAAACCAAACGCATAACGTTCCGAATCAGTGATTAGTGATCGCCAAACCGCCAGTGAAGCCGCCAAGAAGTGATACAAAAGCGATAAGTGAAACGGCACGCCCGGTACTATTCTCGGAACAAGCCGGTCGTCCCCTAGCGACAAGATCAGTGCGGCGGCCTCGCCGCCACAAATAACAACTAACTCCGCTCGTCAGTCATCTGACAACGCCGTCACCGAATCAGCGCGGCGGAAACGGAGTTTGTGCCGATCAGCTGATGACCGCGCGACGACCGTCACGGTCGGGGCTGTTGTGTTGTTGTTGTTTGTTCCCTCCAGGTCGACCTCAGTCGACTGTAGCCTGACGGCTCTGCAGGGTCCTGAACGCGGCCGCCAGGGCCGCGACAACTCCGTCGCTCCGCACCTCTTCCCTGTTGGGTCTGATTGTCCCGGTGAGTCGCAGCCTGGCGCCCATCAGGGCCGGGCACTCGACCAGGACGTGGTACGGAGTATCCGCCGTCTCTCTGCACAGGGGGCAACGGGCACCCTGGCAGTCCACGTCTTCGCACTGCGGGCAGTGTCGCGACGGGTTCCGGCCGATTCGGTGGAGGTACTGGGCGGAGCCTGACCAGTGCCCCGCTCGCAACTGGTGCACATCCACCGCCTCTGCTCGATCCAGGTGTCTGACTGGTCCCGGCAGCTTCGCTCCCATGAGGCTGCGGTACCATCCGCGCGGCCAGTCGCTGACCCACTGGTCCCGCGCCGTCCTTGCCACCGCGCGGTACACCGTCATGGCGTCGACGGGGACTTCCTCTTGGTCCAGTGCTGAGGCTTGCTTCGCCAGCTCGTCCGCTCTCTCGTTCCCGGGCAGGCCGCAGTGGGAAGGTACCCACTGTAGGTAGGTACGCCTGCCGCGGGCCGCCAGCTGTTGAAGCGCCGCCCAGATTTCTCCTCCTATGAGGGTTGTTTGGGTAGAGGGGCCACCCCGGAGTGTCGCCAGAGCTGACTGGGAGTCCGTGCATATCACGATCGGCTCAGGAGGGAGGGTTTGTCGGTCCAGCAGGAACTTCAGCGCTTCTCTGAGGGCTACCATTTCAGCACGGTAGCTGGAGCAGACGTTCCCCGCCGGCACCGTGAGTAGGTGCTGCTGGCCGTCCGGGTCCTCGATGAAAACGCCAGCGCCGCCGTTTGTGATGCCTCCCTCCACCGAGCCGTCGGACCAAACCCAAGTCGCGCACTGTGGCAGACTACCTAGGTGACAGGTCGCCGCGTCTCTCTTCTGTGTGGAAGTCGCATTCAGTGGTAGTGGTCCCACGTCCAGGCTGATGGTGACCCCGCTCTTCACTTCCCACGGGGGGACGCTCGCCTGCGATACTGGGTCGATAGGGGGGCCGACACCGGCCGCCTCCCACATCTCTCGTCCCAGGGTTCTCCAGCCCGTCACGGATCTTAGACGGGCCGGGGCGTCCGACGCGGCTACTCGATGGAGCGGCTCCTCCGGGGGGAGCGCAGTCGCCTTGGCCAGGAAACGCGCAGCCAGTGTCCTTCTCCTCACCGATACCGGGAGAAGGCCCGCTTCCGCCATGAGCGCGTCCGACGGAGTGCTGCGAGTGCACCCCGTGACGACTCTCGCCGCTGCTCTCATTTCCCTCTCCAGAAGTTCCACGTGGGAGGGCGGCGTGGCAGGAAGCCAGGCTGCTGCGGCATGCTCCAGGGCTCCTCGGACATAGCCGCTGGCTACTGTCCGGAGCAGGTCCTCCTCGAGGCCCCAGGAGCGTCCGGACAGCTGACGCAGCTGCGCGATGCGTGGGCGGACCTTCTTCCTCAGCTTATGGCAGTGGGGGCCGAAGTGGAGCAGACGGTCTAACTGCACGCCGAGTAGGCTGATGGAGTCCGTGGCTGACACTGTCTTCCCCGGTCGGGGCTCGGCAGAGTGACGCGTGGCGCCGCGCAAGCCGTGCGCCGCCCGGCAGAGTAACGCGGCACACTGTCCGGTGCGGGTGGGGAGTTGTGTGTGGAGTGACGCCGAGTGGAGAGCAAATGTCCCGAGCGCCGAGGTCTCACGCGCTGGGGTTTCAAGAGCGTGACTGTCGAAGTGAGAGCCTGAGTCCCGGGTGCCGGGGACAAAGCAGTTGGTGCGTGTCGGAGTTGTGCCAGTGTCGGAGTGTCAGTGTCGTAGTTGAGTCAGTGTTGGATTGTCGAGTGTCAGAAGTACCCGCAGCCAGCACAGATGCCGTACATGACGCCAAGCCCCGAGACGGTCACCAGGCTTGCACAGTCAGGTAACGTTCAGTGAACTCCATCTTCACACCAACACGTAGTTTTTGCTTTATCCAGATATTCGGGATTTGATATCCACATAATTTTCATCTCGTGTGTTTTGGATGATGTTTATTGTCTGGTGGTAACAACTGGCAAAAATTGTGATTCATATGATATCACTACAACCTTTAAAAAGCAGTTATATTTTTCCCAACTAAACAACCGTGTAGGCATAACCTTTCGGAACAGCTCTCCATGGCCTTCGTCAGTACTCAATCCAAGTTTGGGCTCAATACAATCGGCACTATCTTTGCTTGGATCTCAAATGTGAATATGCCGATTGATTTTTGCGTTTGACCTGACTTGACCTGCCACGTGACCCCAAAACGAATTTCTGCTTGCGCCTGATATGTTCGGCAAGATCTTTCCCACTCCACCTCGAGCGTTACGCTATACGATGCTTGTTTTCAAGGATAATCTGGGGGGGGGGGGGGCGTTTAACGCCCCTCAGCTACTCGCGGTCAGCTGAGCAGGTGCAGGCTTGAAGTAAAAAATGAAAAATTGTTCTGGTTTCTATCCGGTCCACATGACCTGAATACCTCAGCTGCTCTTTGCGTCAGAGTCCCAATCTAAAACGTTGTAATTAACCACTGGATCACGATTGAACCGCTCTCGGGCGAAAGAAGTAGGTATGTACCAGGTCTCGGGACATTATCGCCGTCGGCACCACCCATAGCCCGCTTCCTTCTGGCCGGCAGGCCCCCTGATTTTTTTTTTCTAAGCCGCCACCCATTATCAGTTGGCCAGGAGTGCCCCCTCCCTCTATCCCAGCAACACACGGAATCTTACGTTAACACCAGAATAACTTGAAAGTGCAAGTCGCGGCACTCCCAGCTATAGGAAATGGAATGCAACATAAAAAAGCAGAATAGAGAAAGCCAAAAAGTTGGTAGGAATGAATAAGAAGCAAAGTAGCCAACACTGTAAGCAGTGGTGACTGCCCTCTACTGGGAGCCCACCCAGCCCACATTCACTCGGTGACATTCATAGCATTCGTACACATTCGATATGAAAAGGTGTCATGTTCACTGAATGACAGATTGATTTCTGTTGTGATCTCGTCACCGCAGAGAGCGCCGTGAGATTACGAAGGACATCCACCCACCGCGGGACCTGGGCCCGGCGCGGCGGAGCGGTCACGGAACGGGGCGGGCCCGCGCGTGTCGCACGTGCGCCGGCACGTGCCGTACGTGGCCGGTACGTGAGCCCGCCGCTTTACCAGGCGCGGATACAAGGGGGGGGCCATGGGGGCCATGGCCCCCCCCCTTGGCCGATTTTTTTCAAAAATAAAATAAAAAGTTAAAAAGTTAAAAAGCTGAAAAGGGGGCCTCCTGAAAATAAAGTGGCCGAAATCCGATGAGTTTTTTTTTAACCTACCCACTTAGTTATTTCTTAGAAGCCTAGCTGAGAAGACTTCTTTGTTAGAAGATTGGTAAAGCTTTTCATAACTTGGAGGTCTCTTATACTCACAGAGATGACCACTTTTACAGGGCCTCCTAACCTGCACAGAGGGCCTCCAAGCCTGCACAGATGTTGAGATGTTGCCTGAACAGCTAGATAAGCTCAATAGACGCAGTTTTTTTTTTTGGGGGGGGGGGCCAACAAGTGGGAAGATGGGGCCTCCAACAGGTGGGATTATGGGGGGGGCCTCCTGGTTTCTAATGGCCCCTCCCTTGGAGATTTTCTGGATCCGCCCCTGCGCTTTACACGTGTCGCAATGGTGGGCGGTTCGGAGACAGTTCGACGAATTGTCGGCCAAGGCAGGCAGGAAGTTACCCAATTAGTTGTCTATATTGCATCAAACCGACCCAGCTTGGACATGGTCTGAAATCATGAATAATTGAGTGCATCTCATTAGAGGAAATGTCCCATGATCGAACGGCAGTTTTGAATTAATTAAGCAAAAATTTTGTCACACTCCTGGCCTAACCATGCTTACCTACTGGTCAGCCCTTATCATGCTCGAGAGGCCATCATGAAAGGCATGCATGCATTGTAAAAGTTATTCTGCAGGCAGAAATATCATTTTACATATGATCATTTTAGTACTCGCTGAGGTTTTTTTTGGCAAGCTTATGAGGCCCATTGTATCTGTTTGGTCAGTCCATTCATGTCAACGTTGAAGTATTGTACGCATGCGAGCATTACAACTATTGGGCACCGACGCCGACGAACGGACCACGTAGCCAGAAAGTTATCAAGAAGTCAACGACCTTGAGTCGATTATTTCCATGTTTTAATGTGGGTAAATGAGCGACATTGGCCTTCGACTATCGATATTATCCATAGTTCATGACCATTCTGACATCCATTGTTTTAGTGAAGCTTAGTTCAATATGCTTCATTTCCGTTAATCAGCCCAGCGTGGGCCGTTCGATGGAGCTCACTTCTACCACGGCCCGGGAATTCCACCGACCACGCGTCATCCAATCAGTCCAAACAGAGTCGTTCCCGGCCGCGGCTGCTGGCGGGGCGTGAGACTGCTGTTTTGCCGGCGCGGCGGGCCGCCGGTTCCGGCGCGCTGTCCCGCGGCTCCGGGCTGCGGCGAGGGTGTTGTTTGCTGCCGACGGCCGAGCTGCGTGGTCCGGCCACTGGATATCGATTGGCCCGGGCCGGTGTTAGTTTCCCAGGGTCGCGCCAACCTTGGAATGCTCGCCAGAAATTCCCGGCTGCAATCTGATCGTGTTTGCTGGCTGTGCGATACCGAAAATAGCTCGTGAAACGGTGGAAAACGCCGTGATGCAACAATTTCCACACTCATCCACTTGAGTAGATGATGTGAGCTGGGATGGAAGGAGTGATAATGCCATGCAATGTTGATATCATGCCTTCTAACAGGGCGAAACTTGGAGGGACCTGTAGAGCTACGAAGGTAGGTATGTACATATATGGGCTTCAGCTAGCGAGGTCAAGGCTTACTTGTAATTTAGCATGTCACTTTTTAGCCGTCGTCATGGAGTTTTACATTTTGGTTCTGGGTCACTAATGCCTCACAAGAACCCTCTTAAAACAGGTGTATCACATTTTTATCAAAGTAGCCAGGACCACTTCGTGTGCCCTGATATACAATCAAACGACCAAAGGCACTTTCGTCTATGTCCGTTAATTGCGCTTAATAGAGTCCGTTAGTGACTAATGTAGCCCGCTAATGGCCTTAGACAAACCGCCTCGGGCCAATAATCCGACCGATTTCCGAGGGGAGCTAGAGCCGTGACCCATTTCGCTCGGCTTTGCGGCAATGCGCGCGTCTTTCATGGTCCGCCGCCGGCCATCAAAGACATCATTTCTGGCCCGCTGGTGGCAACTGGCTGTCAGATAACCTTTGACCCGGTGACCGGGGCTGTTGGGGTGCTCAGGGTGGTCCTCGGGTCCGACTGCTGCGCAATGCTGTGAATTTGACGGCCGTTGGGTCGTATAGGTCAGAAACTGGATGGCTGAAGCCAGTATAGTGGAGGCGGATGCGAAGTTGTAGATATTGTGCTACGATGCTCAGGCGGTTTTATAATGCTCACTTATTGTTCTGCATGGTGCATATCGCTGAGGATTCACCCTACTATTTCCTCGTCTTGCGAAACATAGATTACCTACCGAGGTAAGTTTCTTTAATCGACAAACTTTGTTGTTGTTCTTCCCGTTGCGATCCCTTAAAGCTATTCAACTTTTCCGTACTCTGACCACAGGCCGACTACTCATACAGCCAGTGCGCATTCAGCTGCCCTGACAGCGGTCAGCAGTCCTCGGACAGCGAGCGTCCCGCGGACCGGACATCCCCTCGCTGAAGGACCTTGCCGGCGGCCTTCCGTCGCTATTTTCCCCCGCGCATTGTCAGTGGCTATTCATGTATCGTACACAAATAGACGGCCAGCACCGAACGACGAGCGTCGCTGTGTACCAATAGTCCCACAGACGCGGCGACTCAAAGGTCATTCCCAGGTCACGCCCGTCGTTTGTGGGTACGGCTCACCGCTCCCGTCAGATCTCGCATAGCAACAGAGCCGCGTACCACGCGCTCTAAGGCACCCCGCGGAAGAGAAATCATCATGATGTGATGAAAATTCCACCTTCGCTGCCGAGAAGAGTGATGAGCTCGAGAGAGCTGCGACTCGGGGAGTCGTCCTCCCGAGACGGAGTGACCTCGTCGCGGGCGGCGCGGGCTCGCGCGGCCCGTCGGCGGCGGTGCGTCGGTAGCGTCGTCGGCGCCGGCGGCGGCGGCTGCCGGAGCGGGCCGTCGGCAGTCAGTAGGTGCCGCCGGGTCGTCCTGTGCGCGCGGAGTGTCATGGGCTCCTCTGAGAGCCACCTCTAGTCGTCCGACCTCCAGCAGAAGGGGCCCGCGCCGTCGGAGGTCACTGACGCCCCGGGGATGGCGCTCTTCTGATCGCCGCTGGCTTCACTGAGCACGAGCGGCGCGAATCGTTTGAGCGAGGTCAGTCGCAGGAATGGACGGCTATTGGGTAATTGGCGACTTTGTTGAGGCGATCGCTGCTGTGACCCCGCACTGGTGACCCATGTGACCTGTGGGGGAGGTCCCGCGGCTTCGATTGCCGCAGGGCGCTCACGCTAGATCTGTATCAGGTGTCCTTGGCTGTGTCTGACACGCGAGGAGAACACACGACATTTGATCTGATCAAAACAGTCGATTGGTGGCCGCACCTGGCGGTGACTCAGGGTCCAGAGAAACGAACGTTTTATGCTGGGAATCGGCACAGATGCCAGATTTCAACATATGGTATTTGTATTCAAGCTCAACTGCATTACAATATAAATATTCACGAATGCTTTTCTTTTGCACCAAAAGTCATTAAATTCAAGGAGCTCCGAATCGTTAAGAAGCGCTCATATTTCAGTAATATGAAATGTCCCAGATGATCTAAAATATTTTATGGAACTCTTTTAATGAAAATAAGCATTGCTTTTACAACGAAGAATCTTTCCTTTCATGTTTCCTACCCTTCTGATTCCT